AGCACAGGAAGCAACAACTAAAATTAGGAACCCAGCATCACCAACTTCTGAGGATCGGATAGAAATATTGAAGTTTATAAAGGAGCAGTTCGAAATGCTGTACCAAGCAGTACCAATAGACTTAGAAGCGGTAGAGGAGTTGACAGAGAACCTGCCTTTTGTGTCCCATCAGCAAAATAATGCACTAACAAAAGAAATTAGTCTGCAAGAAATTACAGATACAATTGATAAATTACTAAACTATAAAGCCCCGGGCTTAGACGGATTAATGTACGAATTTTGCAAAGTATATCGTGACGAAATCTCTCCAGTTCTTAAAACCATCTTTAATAATGCACTTAATACGGGTACAATCCCAGATTCGTGGCAGAAAAGTGTAATTACACTGATTCCTAAAAAGTGTGTTGATCTTGAAAATATCAGTAACTGGAGACCTATCTCGTTAGTAAACTCAGATGCTAAGATCTTTATGAAAGTTATTGCAGACAGACTTAACTATATTTGCAAAGACATTATAGGTGAACATCAAACAGGATTTATAAAAGGTAGATCAATCGTTGATGCTGTATTAGATATCATAAGTACAATGAGGAGTCAAGAAAAGCAGCTTGACCCAGCCTGGCTCCTTTTTCTAGATCAAAAAAAGGCCTTTGATAAAGTAAATCATAATTATCTAATACGTGTACTTGAAAAATGGGTTTTAGCTCAGTGTTTATAAAGTTAATCAGAAGTCTTTTCTCGCATTTATCAGCTCATATAACAGATGCGAACCTACTTTCTACTCCATTTAAAATTAATAGAGGAGTTAGGCAGGGGGATCCTCTTTCCCCTCTTTTATATATAATTGCATTCAAACCACTTTTAAGATTGTTGAAGCAGAATTTAAATGGAGCACCAACAGGCTCTTGAACTTTAGAGTTACTGCTTATGCAGATGACTTAACGGTGGGTATAGGCACAATAGAAGACTGGACTACTCTAATGAATCTACTATCAAAATACGAGGCTGCATCGAATGCAGTAGTTAACAAAGAAAAATCTAAATTATTACCTCTTACCGAAAAAGCATGTCAAAAAAAACTACCAGGGGAGGCAAACTTTGATAAATTAGATAAGGATAGGAAAATTAGAATCTTAGGGTTTGAGGTAAACAAAGAAGGGCAGCCGAGCAAAACACTATGGGATACAGTTACTATGAACATTAAAAAACTTACAGGTAGCATGAAAAGAAGAGGCCTTTCGTTTAAAGGCAGAATTTTGATAGCAAAGTCACTCTTATTATCCAAGGTCTGGTTCGCATCCTACATTCTCCCTCCAAATAGAAAACAATTGGGTAAAATTAACTACATAATGATTACCTGGATAAAAGACCGATCAAAACTCCTCCCGAGGTATGCGATATATCAACAAACACGAGAAAACAACGGGTTGAATGCCCCAGTATTACCAGATATGCTTGACGCAAGATTGATAACAGTATGGGTAAAGCTACTGACTAGTAAGAGTTTTTGGGCAATAAATGAGAGAAAGAAAATAGAAACGGCATTGTACACAAAACGTAAGAAAACAGTACAGGAAGCCCTTTCTGCTTCTCCAATTAGATTAAAAGGGTGGCCCTGTGAATGGAAGCCCTATCTCACGGCATGGAAAAGACTAAAGGGAGAAATCCCAGATAGCAGGGAAGAATGGCCATGGGACTCTGTAAAGCTTAAAATTATGGAAACCAGCGCGGCAGACTTGACAACAGCAAAGGCCACTGAGTATTTGAGAAAAATATCCATATCATGTACCCTAACACAAGCTAACTTTTTTAGTGAGATCAATAGAAAGGAAAACTGGGCGTGGTCACTAATAAGATGGGCTCCAAACTACAAAAAGAACATCTTTTGGCGAATATTACATAAGGCACTTCCTGTGGGTACAAGGCTGGCATATGTGAACCCAACAGTCTCACGTGACTGCCCATGGTGCCCAAATGAATCGCAGACAATAGAACATTTTGCAATCGAATGCCGGGTTAGTAGTAAGCTGTGGGAACTTGCATACGACATGTTCGGTATTTCGCAAGATGCAGCTCCTCCAGCTACGATAGAAGAAGTAGTTACAGCATCTAACGTTAAGTCCACCCAGCCTCTCACGTTGGTCATATGGCTCCATATACGAAATATGGGTTTGGTTCACAAACAAGAGTTGGGGAAACAATACGATGCCAGAACCAGCAATAAAATATATATGGAAAATCAGAATTACAAAAGAAATACAAACGGCTTTAAATAGTCGTTTGCTCGGGAGAAAAGAAAAAGATTTTTTAAAACATGTAAATAGTGTAAATAGTTTAAACATTTAAATCTGTACAGATAATAGTGTGTTCATAAATTAGTATAATAAATCGCGTCATTCGACGTCCCCAGATAACTGCTATCTCGGGGTTTTATATAAAAAAAAAAAATAAGGCAGTTCAGAGAATACTATGTTACAAAGGAAAAATTTTTCGATATATGTGATAGTTGTCATAAATAAAAGTGATCATATAAATAAGTACCGTAGTGCACTGACCAAAGTATCACCTTTTCCAATATCTCCCCTTGCAAAATACCCTGCGCAAAACACGAGACCTCTATTAATTAAATATAGGTTTTTTAAAATTTTTAGACTGCTTATTGTAAGTACAGCATATGTATATGCTTGCAAATTTTTTTATCATGCAACAATGACTCGCTGCTGTATAATATACCCGGGCCTTTGTAAGTTTTTTGTTGAGTATTTTGTATTAGACCCCAGGTCTTTTGGTAAGTGCACTATGGCATCTGCAGAGCTTGACTAAAATATAATAAAATAGCAAATAGCTTATATTTCAAATAAAATACGTCATCTTTTTCAACTAGAATATCTTTTCTCAATTTAGCTCGGAAATTAGAAGCTAGATATTATACTATAAGATATATCATTATGAAAAATTTGAATTTCAAAGATTAACCCGTAATAACCTATACCACTGCACGATTTTTGTATTTTATTAAGAAGCATTATAATTTATTAATTACATCGAATCCTCATCTGAAACTGAGCAGCACAGTGCAATTTCTAGTTTTAATTACATAAAAATTGGTCGACTTTTACTTAAAAGCATCAAGTACATACTTCATTATTTGGCTCATCACTTGATGCTTCTTTTGGAGCAAAATTGTGGTTAGGATAGCTATATCTTCTAATAATAATAATTGAGGCAGTTGATAATATTATAATCCCTGCAATTGCTCCAAATACGATACCAACAATTTCGCCAACATTATATGGTAAAGAGTTGGAAGTAGCCGATGGCGTTGTAGTTGTAGTTGGAACCGATTGGAATTGCTTGGTAGGGTCATATGAAGTAACCCATTGATAATTATTTTTTTGACTTACATCAAGAAGAAAAAAATTATTTGTATGGTGCAAGACATCTATACTCAACGGTTACACGAAGTCGTTCAATTTTTTAAATGGCTATAACTTTTTATCTAAGAAGTTTTTAAAAAATCTGACTGGTAACTTTATAGAGCTATATAAGCTCTACATGTGTGCCAAATATCACTTCAAAATATCATCACTGTAAAAAGTTTTAGCGATTTGAAAATTGAAATTTTATATATAAATTTATAAATTTATATATAAAATTTCAATTTTCAAATCGCTAAAACTTTTTACAGTGATGATATTTTGAAGTGATATTTGGCACACATGTAGAGCTTATATAGCTCTATAAAGTTACCAGTCAGATTTTTTAAAAACTTCTTAGATAAAAAGTTATAGCCATTTAAAAAATTGAACGACTTCGTGTAACCGTTGAGTATAGATGTCTTGCACCATACAAATAATTTTTTTCTTCTTGATGTAAGTCAAAAAAATAATTATCAATGGGTTACTTCATATGACCCTACCAAGCAATTCCAATCGGTTCCAACTACAACTACAACGCCATCGGCTACTTCCAACTCTTTACCATATAATGTTGGCGAAATTGTTGGTATCGTATTTGGAGCAATTGCAGGGATTATAATATTATCAACTGCCTCAATTATTATTATTAGAAGATATAGCTATCCTAACCACAATTTTGCTCCAAAAGAAGCATCAAGTGATGAGCCAAATAATGAAGTATGTACTTGATGCTTTTAAGTAAAAGTCGACCAATTTTTATGTAATTAAAACTAGAAATTGCACTGTGCTGCTCAGTTTCAGATGAGGATTCGATGTAATTAATAAATTATAATGCTTCTTAATAAAATACAAAAATCGTGCAGTGGTATAGGTTATTACGGGTTAATCTTTGAAATTCAAATTTTTCATAATGATATATCTTATAGTATAATATCTAGCTTCTAATTTCCGAGCTAAATTGAGAAAAGATATTCTAGTTGAAAAAGATGACGTATTTTATTTGAAATATAAGCTATTTGCTATTTTATTATATTTTAGTCAAGCTCTGCAGATGCCATAGTGCACTTACCAAAAGACCTGGGGTCTAATACAAAATACTCAACAAAAAACTTACAAAGGCCCGGGTATATTATACAGCAGCGAGTCATTGTTGCATGATAAAAAAATTTGCAAGCATATACATATGCTGTACTTACAATAAGCAGTCTAAAAATTTTAAAAAACCTATATTTAATTAATAGAGGTCTCGTGTTTTGCGCAGGGTATTTTGCAAGGGGAGATATTGGAAAAGGTGATACTTTGGTCAGTGCACTACGGTACTTATTTATATGATCACTTTTATTTATGACAACTATCACATATATCGAAAAATTTTTCCTTTGTAACATAGTATTCTCTGAACTGCCTTATTTTTTTTTTTTATATAAAACCCCGAGATAGCAGTTATCTGGGGACGTCGAATGACGCGATTTATTATACTAATTTATGAACACACTATTATCTGTACAGATTTAAATGTTTAAACTATTTACACTATTTACATGTTTTAAAAAATCTTTTTCTTTTCTCCCGAGCAAACGACTATTTAAAGCCGTTTGTATTTCTTTTGTAATTCTGATTTTCCATATATATTTTATTGCTGGTTCTGGCATCGTATTGTTTCCCCAACTCTTGTTTGTGAACCAAACCCATATTTCGTATATGGAGCCATATGACCAACGTGAGAGGCTGGGTGGACTTAACGTTAGATGCTGTAACTACTTCTTCTATCGTAGCTGGAGGAGCTGCATCTTGCGAAATACCGAACATGTCGTATGCAAGTTCCCACAGCTTACTACTAACCCGGCATTCGATTGCAAAATGTTCTATTGTCTGCGATTCATTTGGGCACCATGGGCAGTCACGTGAGACTGTTGGGTTCACATATGCCAGCCTTGTACCCACAGGAAGTGCCTTATGTAATATTCGCCAAAAGATGTTCTTTTTGTAGTTTGGAGCCCATCTTATTAGTGACCACGCCCAGTTTTCCTTTCTATTGATCTCACTAAAAAAGTTAGCTTGTGTTAGGGTACATGATATGGATATTTTTCTCAAATACTCAGTGGCCTTTGCTGTTGTCAAGTCTGCCGCGCTGGTTTCCATAATTTTAAGCTTTACAGAGTCCCATGGCCATTCTTCCCTGCTATCTGGGATTTCTCCCTTTAGTCTTTTCCATGCCGTGAGATAGGGCTTCCATTCACAGGGCCACCCTTTTAATCTAATTGGAGAAGCAGAAAGGGCTTCCTGTACTGTTTTCTTACGTTTTGTGTACAATGCCGTTTCTATTTTCTTTCTCTCATTTATTGCCCAAAAACTCTTACTAGTCAGTAGCTTTACCCATACTGTTATCAATCTTGCGTCAAGCATATCTGGTAATACTGGGGCATTCAACCCGTTGTTTTCTCGTGTTTGTTGATATATCGCATACCTCGGGAGGAGTTTTGATCGGTCTTTTATCCAGGTAATCATTATGTAGTTAATTTTACCCAATTGTTTTCTATTTGGAGGGAGAATGTAGGATGCGAACCAGACCTTGGATAATAAGAGTGACTTTGCTATCAAAATTCTGCCTTTAAACGAAAGGCCTCTTCTTTTCATGCTACCTGTAAGTTTTTTAATGTTCATAGTAACTGTATCCCATAGTGTTTTGCTCGGCTGCCCTTCTTTGTTTACCTCAAACCCTAAGATTCTAATTTTCCTATCCTTATCTAATTTATCAAAGTTTGCCTCCCCTGGTAGTTTTTTTTGACATGCTTTTTCGGTAAGAGGTAATAATTTAGATTTTTCTTTGTTAACTACTGCATTCGATGCAGCCTCGTATTTTGATAGTAGATTCATTAGAGTAGTCCAGTCTTCTATTGTGCCTATACCCACCGTTAAGTCATCTGCATAAGCAGTAACTCTAAAGTTCAAGAGCCTGTTGGTGCTCCATTTAAATTCTGCTTCAACAATCTTAAAAGTGGTTTGAATGCAATTATATATAAAAGAGGGGAAAGAGGATCCCCCTGCCTAACTCCTCTATTAATTTTAAATGGAGTAGAAAGTAGGTTCGCATCTGTTATATGAGCTGATAAATGCGAGAAAAGACTTCTGATTAACTTTATAAACACTGAGCTAAAACCCATTTTTCAAGTACACGTATTAGATAATTATGATTTACTTTATCAAAGGCCTTTTTTTGATCTAGAAAAAGGAGCCAGGCTGGGTCAAGCTGCTTTTCTTGACTCCTCATTGTACTTATGATATCTAATACAGCATCAACGATTGATCTACCTTTTATAAATCCTGTTTGATGTTCACCTATAATGTCTTTGCAAATATAGTTAAGTCTGTCTGCAATAACTTTCATAAAGATCTTAGCATCTGAGTTTACTAACGAGATAGGTCTCCAGTTACTGATATTTTCAAGATCAACACACTTTTTAGGAATCAGTGTAATTACACTTTTCTGCCACGAATCTGGGATTGTACCCGTATTAAGTGCATTATTAAAGATGGTTTTAAGAACTGGAGAGATTTCGTCACGATATACTTTGCAAAATTCGTACATTAATCCGTCTAAGCCCGGGGCTTTATAGTTTAGTAATTTATCAATTGTATCTGTAATTTCTTGCAGACTAATTTCTTTTGTTAGTGCATTATTTTGCTGATGGGACACAAAAGGCAGGTTCTCTGTCAACTCCTCTACCGCTTCTAAGTCTATTGGTACTGCTTGGTACAGCATTTCGAACTGCTCCTTTATAAACTTCAATATTTCTATCCGATCCTCAGAAGTTGGTGATGCTGGGTTCCTAATTTTAGTTGTTGCTTCCTGTGCTACCCTTGATTTGTACCATTCAAAAAAATACTTTGTAGACTTCTCACCTTCTTCCATCCACTTAGTTTTCGATCTTAATTGCCATTTTTTCGTTAACAGTCTTAACTCTTCTTGTAATTCAGAATTTAGTTGCGCCACTACAATACTTAGATCTGCCAGATGTGGGTTTCTGGCGATTTTGTTATTTAATTCTGTAATTTTTTTATGAATCTTCTCAATGCGAGTTTCAACTCCCTTATTTTGATTCTTTGATTACTTATTTGTAATTATTATTTACGATCATTCAAGTGCGATTAAGGTTGTTATGTAAATATTTTGCACAATTTTTAACAACATAGAGAATTAAATTTTTTATTCTGCGATTGAAAAGGATTTATTCATTTTCCCAATTCATTTATGGCAAAACCAATTGTCCCTAATAAATTTTAATCGAATTTAGGTGATTTAAAATTTCGATTACAAGTCTTCAATTGATATGAGCTGAAATTCTTCCTTTAGAGCTTTAACAATTTCCTAAATTGGGTAATTTTTTTAAAAAAATAAAGTTATAAGAGTGCGAAAAGTTTCGTAAGCACAATTTTTTTCATATATAGGTAGTATAAGTGTGGTTGTAACTGTGGAAAAAATTACTGCAAATGCAAAAAGGCAAACCTACCTCAGCAATCACACTTGCAGATCAAAAAAATTGATTCTGATTTACCGATTTCTTTAACATTTTTTTGCAGAATAAAATTATAGATTCATAATTTTGTAACATGTTTTGATTTAGCATCTATTGTAGGAATATAGTTAGCATATTCATCAGGTTTTAAAGAACTTGATTGTGTAATATTAAATTCTGTTTTTTTTTCTAGCCCGATAAAATTTACTATTTATAACGACTAGAAAATTAATTTGTTTATTACTGATAGAATTATGAAATTTCAAAGTAAAAGCATAAGGAACTTTAGTATAATTTTTTTTATGGGATATATATTTTTCATTACAATAAGTTTTAGAAGTTGTACAAAAAGACACTTTGTGGATCCAAAGCATGTTCTGGGATAATAATTTTGGCCATTAGAAATGATTTCTTTAAAAAAAGTATGCTAAATAAATATAGGGAACTGATATTTCCACACCCGTTTTTGATTTTTCCACACCCCAAGTAGATCACTCTTTTTTTTAAAACTTCGATGGAAGGTATTTCGGCAACTACATAATTAAATTCTATGAATTTTTTTTTATTTGAGTTCTACAGTTCTGTAGAATCCGAATAAAAAAAGTTCATCGAATTTGGTTGGATGATTGTTGAGATACTTTCGTCAATTCGAAAAAAAACATATGTCGCAGCTAATATTTTGATTGATCGAAGATATCTCGGCAACCACCTAACCAAATTTGATGAGCTTTTTTTTATTTGAATTCTACGGATCTATAGAATTCAAATAAAAAATTTGTAGAGTTTGGTTGGATGGTTATCAAGATACCTTCGATCAATATCATAAACAATCTTGCCGCGACTAATATTTTAATAGACGGTTGAAAATTTTCAAAACTTTGATCGAAGGTATCTCAATATCTATCCAACCAAATTCGATCAACTTTTTTTTATTCGGATTCTACAGAACTGTAGAACTCAAATAAAAAAAATTTATTGAATTTGGTTATGTAGTTGCCGAAATACCTTCCACCGAAGTTTTAAAAAAAAAGAGTGATCTACTTGGGGTGTGGAAAAATCAAAAACGGGTGTGGAAATATCAGTTCCCTAAATATATTATATATATATATATGTATAAGTCTTTATATAGTATAATATTAGTTGATATACAGAAGTAATGTTAAAGAAATCGGCAATCAGAAATCATCGATCTTTTGCAAACCGCAATAAATATCCTTGCGACATACAGTATTACTGTTTAATTGAATCTAGACATTATATTTTTTAAAAATTTAAAATTGCAGTATGGCAAGGTTCTACATATTCTGACGTACGTTATTAGTTAAATTTAAATTTTACCAGGTACAAAGATAACTTAACTACTAGATAGTGCACCTATATTATCAGCAAACACGTACAAGTATTAAAAACTAAGTACTGTATCATGCTGTCTTTAGTTCCCGGCGTGATGCAATTTTTTACATAATGAAAAATTAAACATCAATAATATTTTAAAAAGTTGATCTGCATTTTTTGTCACGCTGAGTACTAAACGCAGTGTAAACAAATAGCATACAGCATACTTTGCAAGATATTCACGATCCTTGGCTTCAGCACACTATTCACGCAGTTACTGGGTTCAATACTATTTTTTTTTTTAAATTATGTATTACTAAAGTTACAACCCAAGTATATTTTGGATTGAAAGTCACAAAACTGATATTTCTTTGTCACACTTAATTACCCAACTATCATGAATGTACGGAATACGGGAAACAAAAGATTAAGATCAAGATATTAAAAAGTTATATAAAAATAATCATCTTATATGAAAAAAAATCATGCTTTGTTACAGTACTTTTAATTATTATCATGAAATCAATTAAAACATTCGTTATTTTTTTTTATATACTGGAACCAGCTCTGAAGTATGCATTTAGGGAACAACTAATAGAGTTGCATATTGTCACGGGCAGAATAAACCGTGATCAACTAAAAACGTGACCCAAACGACGATCGGGTCCCAGATCGGTGAAC